GATGGTAGCGAATCACTATGGCGCTCCATGACCAGTGGTGTCCCCCAAGGCTCTGTCCTTGGACCGGTCCTCTTTAACTGCTTTATCAACAATGTGGACATTGGTGTCAGAAGCTCACTGGCTAAGTTTGTCGATGACACTAAACTTTGGGGCATAGCATCTACATCTGAGGACAGGCTAGTGATCCAGGCTGACTTGGATAAACTTAGTAAGTGGGCGGATACAAACCTGGTGACGTTCAATACCAAGAAATGTAAGGTACTCCACCAGGGGGGGAAAAAACCTGCAGCATGCTTATAGGCTCGGCAGTGCTACGCTTGTTAGCACCACTGCTGAAAGAGACTTGGGGGTCATGACTGACAACAAGATGAACATGAGACACCAATGCAATGTCGCAGCTGGTAAAGCTAATCAAACTCTGGCTTGCATCCATAGATGCTTCTCAAGTAAATCTCAGGATGTCATCCTTCCACTGTACTTGGCCTTGGTGAGGCCGCAGTTGGAGTACTGCGTCCAATTCTGGGCTCCTCAATTCAAGAAGGATGCCGAGAAGCTTGAGAGAGTCCAGAGGAGAGCCACACGCATGATCAAAGGGCAAGAAAATAGGTTTTATGAAGAGAGGCTGAGAGCCATGGGACTCTTCAGCCTGGAAAAGCGCAGGCTCAAGGGGAACCTGGTGGCTGCCTATAAGTACATAACGGGGTACATCAGGATCTGGGAGAACATCTGTTCACCAGAACGCCCCAAGGTAAAACAAGGATCAACGGTCATAAACTCCTCCAAGACCATTTCAGGCTGGACACAAGAAAAAATGTCTTTACTGTCCAAGCCTCCAAGACCTGGAACAGACTCCCTCCAGAAGTGGTGCAGGCACCTACTCTGGACTCATTCAAAAAACATTTGGATGCTTACCTTACTGGGATCCTTTGACCCTAGCTGACTTTCTGCCCATGAGGCAGGGGCTGGACTTGATGATCTTTGAGGTCCCTCCCAGCCCTAACGTCTATGAAGCTATGAAACTAATGGGGGTAACCAATTTGCCTGTCTGTACTTAGGAAGATTAGTGTATGCTGCTGCTAATGGAAAGGATTTAAATCATATCTGGAGTCATCTACACAACCCTTTCCTTCTTTGAGGATGGGGTTCACATGCAACACTGTACAGACCAGTGGAAATTTTAGATAGGAAAGGGATGAAGCAATTAATCTAATATCAAATTAAATGGTAATAACTTAAAAAACATAATGAAAGAAATAAGATTAGAATGCAGTTTCTGCTTCCTGATACCTTAAATTTAGCCATCCAACATTACTATCTAGTCCGTTATTCTAGTGACACAACACTTCTTCATGCAGCTTTAATTATTTCATTTAATAAAAATGAAGGAGTGCATTACAAAATGACTGTCCCACTCAGTGCATGTACACTGATCAGTGCTCATCCACTTACTGACATGACCTTTCAAGAAAAATGCAACCATATATTTAGTGGCAGAAGATTAATTAAGATATTTAAATGGCAGAAGGTCATAACATCATAGAAAAGTAGGGCTGGATGGGACCTCAGGAGGCCACCTACTCTAGTGATTCTCAATGAAGATGCCACAGCACCTGGGGTGCCATGAAATCCTTTTAAGGGCTCTGCAGGGTGGCAATCAATATTAGCATTGTTAGGTTTGTAAACACCTACACACAAGTCACAAGATAAACCCAGAGATAGGAATCCAGAGTGTCAAGTATATTCTAACCTGTTGTGATCTTTCTGAGATCGTTACAACAGCAGAATTGCTTTATTACTTGTTGGTAGTCAAAAAATGACTGAAATTTAAGAGCTGGCATTTTCCAAGAGTGCCTTGAGTCTAATGAGGGGTACCTTGAGTCTAAAAAGGTTAAGAACCACTCATCTAGTCTAACCTCCTGATTAAACCATTAGAGTCAAGTGCGTCTCTAATCCACTCTTGAAAACTTCCATGGATGGAGATTCCACTGCTTCTCTGGGTAGCCTGTTATAAAGCTTAACCACCCTAGGTTAGCCACCCTCAAGATGTACAATTGTTACTGAGCAGTACAAAAGATATTTACTAGCAACAGTTTTTATAGAATCTCTACTGTATTTCCACTTGAGACTTGGTCCTCCTGACATTAAGATACCTTTAAAACTGGTTGCTGGGTGCATGTGTGATTGACTTCATTTCTATAAGAGTATGCAAAACCATCAATAGTCTTAGTTACTTTTCCCTAACAAAAAAGGGAGTGGATCAGGTTCCATGACAAACTGAAAGCTTCTGGGACAAGTATTAAGCTCATATACTAAATTATTGAACCCCATTATAAGTGCAAAATACAGGCAGTCCTCAACTTACAATGTTTCGCACTTACAATGTTTATAAATTGACACCCTGTTTTGACTTTCTGACATCAGTTTCAACTTTACAATGCTTGATCTGATGTAATGCCACACCAGCAAACAAGTTCGCTGCATCGCCCATCTCCCTGGAGAACATCTGTCCAGACTTCCTTGGACACTTTCTTTAAGAAAGCAGACAAGACTCCAGAAAAACCTGCAGCCAAGACTCCTGAGAAGACTACATTCAAGAACCCTTCAAAAAGTCCAACCAAGAGCCCTTCAAAAAGTCAGCAAAGTCATCTCAAAGAAATCCTTCCAAATCAATGATTGCTATTTACAGAATAAATACATTAAATGTAGCTATATTACTCATCTATAATTGACTGAGTACCAAATTCTGGGTTATTTTTGGTGACAATAGGGTATTGGGCCTTCAATTTAGGAACTAATCCCCCATTTATAACATTATTTCCTATGGGAAAATCAGTTCTGAGTTACAATGTTTCGACTTAAGACATGGTTTTCAAGAACCAATGCAAGTCTCAGGACTGCCTGTACCACCTGACTGCGATCTGAAAGCCCCTTCACACACCCTGCTTTCTTCACGCTTTCTGCTTTTCAAAGAAGTTCCAGAGTTTGAGGAGAAAGTTCCTTACTCCAGATGGAAACACAGAGAGTACTCAATTCCTTACCACATAAATTTAACTTATTTTAATAATGGATTCAAGTTGAGACATTAAATAACATTCCCATATCAAAAAAAATCTTCTCCTATTGAGATGAAAAGAAAGTTATTTTGATGATTAATTTCTTTCCAGATCTTATTACTGAGATTAGTACCATTATCACAGTAATAAAATATTCCACTAAGTCACCTTATTATATTTGTATCCCAACACACTTGATTTGTCATCACTTCCTCCTTGAAGTATTTTCCCCCCTCTATTTTTGGAGACATTGTTCTAAAGTATGTCTCAGCTTCCTCCACTGCCTAGTTTCTCTTTATTGTGACAACTGAGTAACAGTACTGCTAGTTATAGGTACTGAAGGTTGTACAGTATTTTTCAGTTCCAGGCTGGGTTCTTGTACTCTGACCTACCACAGTGATCAGTTGAGTATTTCACACCAACACGTGAAATGACCAGCAAGTGCAAATAACACACTGTGAATCTACTATACCTGATAATGCAGGGGTGCACTGATAAAAGGTTTTTTGGGCCAATACCAATGACCGATTATTAACCAGCCATATTGGCCAATCCCGATCCAACTGCTGATATGCAGCCAGGCAGCTTGGAGAGCAGCATCCAGCAAGAAAATCTATTGGGGGGAAGAGATTTGGGGGGGGGGGCAGCAAATCAAGGCCCCCATGATGAGGGAGGGAGTGGGGCTACGGTAGGGGAAGGCACTGCATAGCTGGGGCTGGGTGGAGCATGGGATGGAGCCATGGGGTAAGGATAGGCTGCTTCTGCAGGCTCAGGACTAGGGGGCTGCATCAGCCTCTTTCTGGCAGGGTGGGGACTGGGGTGGGGCTGCACTCAGCCACTCGTGGCTCCATCCTGTGCCCTGCTCCACCCTGGCTGGACAGCATCTGCTCCTGCCCCAGCCCCGCTCTCCCCCTCGTGGTGGAGACCTCGATCTGTCACCCCCACGCCCCTTCCCCGACAGAGACTTACCAGCTAGATGCTGCTCTCCAAGGCGCTGGGCTGCATTCCTGGCCACATACATGCTACAGCTGTGCACATGCATACGGTATTTATTGGTGACACATCAGCCAAAAAAAGCCAATTGCTGATAACGTCAATCTTCCTTTTATCGGCATCAATACAATATGGACTGATATATCGGTGCACCTCTAGATAGATGTCTTCCTAATCATACTCAAGACAGACAGGGAGAATGTTAGATACTTTAACTGGAAGTGTTGTAATATACCCCTTTTCTTTCCTTTTCACATATGTAAGAAATAAGATGCGCCAGAGAGAAGACAGGTTGGTGTTCTTCCAGGATTCTAATTTATTTTCATGTCTCATAATAGGAACATGTAGAGCTCTCAGGAGATTAAACCATTTATTTTTTCAAGTTATTCGATTTAAACAAAAAATAGGGTACATTAAAATCAGAGTTTTGGATCTTTGAGTGAACCATGCTTTTTGCTATTTTAGTTACACAAGAGAGGTTTCACTCAATCTGACCAGTTCAACTACAGCATCACATTGGCAACAGAACATACAGTTAAGAGAATCATTCTAAACATATATATTTTTTAAGAGCTGCTGTTTAAGCTATAAGCTCTCATGTTTATATTTAGCCCAAATACCCATCCCCATGAAAGTCTTAAAAATAACTTTGCATTAACGTACAAGTCAAATAATTCAGATAATTTACATGTAATAATATACCACAAGATAAATCTAAGTGGCAGACCTCACTATATTAGCCAAGAAGAATTTGTTGCTATGGGAAGCATAACTTGGTACAATGAGGTTTTGTAATTAGTTACATGTACACATGATGCACATATTATTCACCACAGTAAGCAACACGTTACACTTAAATACTTGTATCAAATGAGCATCCAGATTTTGATTTACTTTTATCAGCTTTATACTGATTAATGCCATACAAAAATATTTATCTTAAAAAAGGTTTACCGTTTAGTATTGTAGGCAGTATCTTGTGGGGTTTCTTCCAACAAGGTTACATATCCCAGTGCACAAGTGAGGCTAAACAGGACTGTTAAGGTGTGAGCTCTCCTGCAGTTTAGGGGGAAAACAAAAATTAACATTCAAACAAGAGAAGGCCAGGTGGAGGAAAAACAAAAAGAAGTCAAGTATATTGGAATATTTTCTTGGCCAGGCTAAAAGCTAACTAACCAACAACACTGAACAAGTTTTACACTTTCAATTCATGTTACTATTTCTGACAATTGTACAGCTACTATTTCTGACAAATGTACAATGCAAAGAACAGAGAATATAGCATCAGCACAAAATAATTTATTGACTAGTCAATCATCCACACCCATATGAGAGAGGACTATCACTAAGAGGTCTTAAGCCTGCCTTATGTTTTTTCCTTAAAATTTACTTCGAAGGATCTGCAGAGACACTGGCAAAGTGAAGGGCATCCTTTCTACAAATCAAATCTACTAAAAATGTTATCCTATTATAATACTTCAGATAACAAAACCTGACATTCTTTCCCAATTCCTCAGTACTCTGAGTATGGGAACTGTCTTTTTTACTGAACTCCTACATAGACTCTGTTGGAAGGGAGGGGAAAAAAAAAGAGAGACTGAAAAGGACTGAAAACTATTAATAAACATTAAGAGGAAAAGATACAAAACCCTTCTAGGCTTTTAGATTTCCTAAGAACACCAGGGTCTACTATTTAAAAGCATTCTAGACAACCAAAATTGGTTGATCTTATTTGATTATGAGATCAAGATGTCTCTATTCAAAGATCAGAAAAAAATCCAGTAGTTTGAAGATGAAATGTTGTGCTTACTTTCTAAAGAAACATGATACAAATTCCTTACACATTCTTGAATAAAAAGGAAGCTTTTATTTTAAAAATTTCTACACAATTAAGGGTCATTGTTGCTTCCTCATTTTCACTGAGCAATTCTGAGAATCTGCATTACCATCACTAAAAGTTAATAACGCTGCATTGCAAGAGCTGAGCAATACTGCCTGGAAACAGTACATGGAAACAGAAAATGAGGGTTGCTGGGGGGGGGGCGGGCTGGGGGGCTGAGGCCAGGAGTGAGGAGCACTGGGGCAGCACTGGTCAATGTTTACAAATGGGTTGTGGTACAAAAAAGGTTGAGAACCACTGATCTAGTCTAGCCCCCTGCTCAAAAGCAGGACCACCCCCAACTATCAGAGTTCCCTCAGGCAGGAACTCTAATATGCATGTGTTCCTTTAGCATAAAATTTAGAACGAGTTCAGACTGTCATTTGAAGCCGAGCTTACACTACAGATGGCCTCCATATTGATCAGGGAACACAGATCTTCATAACCCTGACCAAAACAGCTGAATCTACACTAGGAGCTTCTGTCAGCAGAACTAAGATAGCAGAACTGTACCACTGCAACTTGTTCTTGGGTTTGTTACTGTATAATACAGGAAAAAAAACCACAGCTTTGCTAATGTGGATGCATACACATCAGAAGAACTATGCTGGTATAATATACTACTACAAGGATGCCACTATAGCACTCAATCTTAAAGATCTCCCACCTCTCAGAGCCCATTTACTTGGCATGAAATCCATTTTCATCACACATTTACAGGGATCCTGGTTTTCTCCAACTTAAAACATCCCATATATCTGTATATATATATATATATATATATATAAGCGGTGTTTCACGTAAATCATAGAAAAATGAGGATTCATGATTACTTTTTTTTTTTTTTTTTTTTTAATTTAACTGAAAATTGGGGATTTTTTTTAAATCAGAGAAAACCAGGATGCCTAGACATTTGTAAGTTCGTATATGAAAAGCCTGACTTGAACTTGTCATTGAAGTGACAAACTTCATTCTTTATACATAAGAGAACCACATGTACTCAAATCCAAGACATGGGCTCTCCTCTTCCAATTGACACTGGGGGAGGCGGGGCTTGTTTTAGATTTGAGTATAGGCCCAGGGCAGGCAATAAGCTCATGAGGCGTGTGGAGGGGGCAAGAGGCAGGGGGTCAGCAATAGACATGGTATGGGTGGGAAGCAGCAAATTTAAGATAACCCTCCAATAATTATCTTCCATACATGGAAAATTATTAATTTTCCATGTATAGAATCTAATTGTGAGGGGGTGGGTCATCTCAAAATTCAAAGTCATCTTGGATTCAGATAAACAGGGTGATCAACATGATCAATATGGCAGGATAAGGATGACCTGGGAATAATTAGTTATTCTTTCTAGGTCTTACTAATGTCTACATCCAGATAGTTTTAGCAACAGTTCACCTGAGAACATAGTATGACTAACCAAACTAGTCGAGACAGATGGACTTGGTCATGCCTCATTTTTCATACATATATTGCATTTACATGCCTATTTATTTCAGGCCTTACAAATATGAGGTATACAGTATTCTGCATTGTAGTGAGAAGCTTAAGTTTATGACATCCCAAAATGAAATTTGTTTTTCCTTTACTGTTATCACTTTGAGCTGAAAATTCTCATGCCCTGACCAGGGACCAGAAATAAAGCTTTATAAAAAATTGTTTTTATAAGAAATTGTTTTTTAGATATACAGAGAGTAAAAGGAAGGCCCAGGGAGGAATAGGACCTCTGCTAAATGGGCAGAAACAATTGGTGACGGACAGAGGGGACAAGGCTGAACTCCTCAACGAGTCCTTTGCCTCAGTGTTCCTAAGCGAGGGGCACGACAAGTCTCTCACTGGGGTTGTAGAGAGGCAGCAGCAAGGCACCAGACTGCCATGCGTAGACCCTGAGATGGTGCAGAGTCACTTGGAAGAACTGGATGCTTTTAAGTCGGCAGACCCGGATGAGCTCCATCCAAGGGTGCTGAAGGCACTGGCCAACATCATTGCAGAGCCACTGGCGGGAATATTTGAACACTCGTGGTGCACGGGCCAAGTCCCGGAGGACTGGAAAAGGGCCAATGTGGTCCCCATTTTCAAGAAGGGGAGGAAGGAGGACCCGGGCAACTAGAGGCCAGTCAGTCTCACCTCCATCCTTGGCAAAGTCTTTGAAAAAATTATCAAGGCTCACATTTGTGAGAGCCCGGCAGGACAAATTATGCTGAGGGGAAACCAGCACGGGTTCGTGGCAGGCAGATCGTGCCTGACCAATCTAGTCTCTTTTTATGACCAGGTTATGAAACGCCTGGACACAGGAGGAGGGGTGGATGTTGTATACTTAGACTTCAAGAAGGCCTTCGAT